ATATATATAAAAATTTATTATTTTAGATTCTCTCTTATTTAAAGAATAAAAACACTTGCAGTGTTAGTGTTGTGAATGACGGTAGAAATGTAAGTGCATAAAAAATTGCATAGTAATGGCAAAGCTTACAGAAAGGTTATTGCTTGTTAGTAGAATGTACACTGACTTTTAGTGAGGGCCTTTTTTGTTTTAGGCATTCTTACATGCTTCTGATTTCACTTTATAGGTTTTCTCAAAAGTCGAGATCGTTCACATCAGAAGTTCTACACACTGATGACCAAAACTCAAATGTTTATTCGCTTCATTGAAGAGTGTTCTTTTGTCAGTGATAAGGATGCAAGCCTTGCATTTTTTGATGACTGCGTATATAAAGTAAGGATGTCTTCATAGGCCTATAGTTTTTAACTTCTAGTGTTGCTTATGTTATCTGATGTAGTACAAGCAGAATATATTTGAAAAGCAAGTTTGTTTCTTTTTTTTTTCTTCCTTTTTTTCTAGTCACTGGAACCTTCCATTTTCCTTTTTTGTTGGTCTTTGTTTCATTTTCTACTTCAAATTTTTGAGAGTGTAACTATAATATTGTGAGAACAAATTAGGAGTGCTAATTTTCACATGTGTGTAAGCTTCTGAAATACTGGCCCATAGTATGAAGTATAATATTCTGACTGTAAAGTAGCAACTTTGAGCTTCTTTATCAGAGAGTTAGATTCTTTAGCTAAAACTACAAGCATTTTTATAGATGGTGTAATATTTCATGCAGCTATTTAGACATGGGGATGGTAAGCAGCACACTAAAAGATATAAGGCAGTCTCACTATTTTTAAGTCATTATATATTGACAAATAGAAGGTTCCTTGACCTTTTTTTAAAAAATGTGCTGGCCAGTTCTTTCTAATAGTAATTCTCTAGTTACTCTTAGAGAGTTTTTAGAAGGCTTGAACTAAAAGTAAATAATTAAAATGAACCTTTATCAATTCTCCTTTCATTCATACTGCTGTCACTTGCTTCCCTCAATTCAAAACCAGCTTGCCCATGTAAATATTTTAAATACAGTGCTTGTATAGATACTCTTGTCTTGGTTAAGAAAACTTTCTAATGACCTTGTTATCAAATATTGATGGATATGAAATATATGGGTTTCTTAAAGTAAGCAAGATTTATTATGGTGTGTCACATACAAGCTTTGCATAAGCTAACATTTTTTGTAGGTTCTGTTACTCTACTGTTGTGTTTGTGTTGCAGTAAAGGAATACCTTGCTACCTGTTGCTATGCTGTTCTCTTGTTTGTAATGAGAAGGAAAGGCAATTGTTAAGGATTATGTGACAAGGAGTGTGAAAGTGCAACATGATTACAATGGGTGTTTTTCTTGAAATAAGCTTAGAAGTTCTGCTGGACTGGAGCTCATAGAATGTTGCATTTCCCAGTTCAGAGTGGATTTCTTTTTTAGTCTTCCATGGAAGTATCACTCAGATTTTTAAAAATCCTAAGACATTTATAAGAAAGGTCCACATTAGTATAGTGTTGAGCACTGTGAAGAACTAATTTTCTAAAAAGTACAGGTATATTAGCTTTTGAAAATTCATTGTATTTCCAAAGAGGGCCTACAAAAGTGTTTTGAGGCAGCTTGAGATTTTTTTCATATTAGTTTTTGTTTTCAGAACTGAACTGAAACCCACAATTTTGTATTCCTGTTTGCTTCTATTGTAACATGAAAGACATTTTTATGAATATTATAAGAAATTCCACACCTACTTGTCATCTTACTGGTTACCTGTAACACTCTATTCTGGGACACTGATGTTTAACTAATGCACGGTTGTCTAGGATTTCCTGTAAAGTAGGTCACCTGCTGTTTGTTCCACAGGATTTAATACTGACGACTATGAAAACTGCTATTTGCAGTTTCTGTTTATGGCTATTTCTGCTATGAAAGTGTAGAATTGCTAAAAGGAGTTGTTTTGAAAACAAATCTGAAAGCAGTTAATAAGTTTGAGAGAAATAGAAGAGCATGATCTAATGGTATTTAATGTTCTTTATAGCTTTTGCTAGTCAATTTTTTACTAGTAGTAGTTCTCAAGTGTGCTTCACAGTTCTACAGCATGAGTTGCAGGTATTCATGGGTTGTAAATTGATTTAATTACAAACATTTCTGTAATGTTCACTTGATTATCCCATTGTTCAGTTAAAAAGCCTTCGACACGTAGCGTTTGCTTTGCTGTATGCCAGTGTTTAAAAATGGGAGGTCTCGTAGACAGGAATATACATACCCCAGTGACTAAACGCTGTTGAGCAGTGCTTAGCTTCCATTGTGTTGCAGGTTAGTTCTCTGACTAATATTAAATAGGATTTTTATTCAGAATGTGATGACTATGTAAATGCCAAATTCTATCTGGTTTATTTCATTTTATAGAATGGTTTATGAGAGCACTGAAGTTGATGCCCCAGCTAAAGTTATCTTGCCTGGGAATTCAAACAGTTGTTCTGAAAAAGTATTACTTAGCTTGGTGATGCCACTGTAAGACTGCACATTATCTGTGGAGCTGTTGGAGCTTTCACCTTTTCTAAAAGGTTAAGAAGCCACTTGTACAGCTGAAACAGAGACTCATCTGTTCTAATGCCAGTTATTTTGCTAGGTGATGCCATGGGCAGCTTCTTTCCACTATAAAAAAAATGCTCATGACAGTGCCTTGAGAATAAATTTTACAGAAAACACTTGTACTTCTCCAACTTGTATTTCTGTCAGTGAGGATTTCATTCAGTTTTACTAATGGGACACCTACTTCTATGCCAGTGATAATTGTGGGGAAACTGAGGCACTGGAATTACTGTGCGTTTAAGATTTGCCATGGCTTTAGAATTGCTGTGAAATTAGGTTTTCATTGACATGAGGTAGTGTGTTCCCATGTAGGATTTCATTGAACAATGATATATTTGCCTCGCTTTCTTTTTCCTGCTTTTCTTTCTTGATTTCTCTTATTTCTGATACTATGATTAACAGAAATATACAAAGTCAAAATATGGAAGTATACCAAGGACTGCTATATGAACTAGAGCTATGGCCAAGATGGCCTACTTGGAGCGAATATCAAATTTGAATGATTCCAGTAAAGTGACTATTTAGTTGTATATTAATGTCTTTCACTAGGTGAACCAGAACCTGAAAGGGTATGCATAAAAGAGTGATGTCATAGATTGAAAGATGATAAAACACTTTCTTATGGGTTCAACCACTGGGTTATGTACTGTGAAATTAGTTATCTATAAAATATGATCGAAGCCCTGCCTCAAATAATTTGTAAGAATAGTTTAAGCTGAAGAATAATCTTCTCTACATGTTATTTTATCCTAGACAGCAGCAGCAGAGATTGTAATTGATTACCCATTTTGTTTACTGAAAAATACAGTGTAATTGTCTCACGAGTTTTCTTTTTTCCAGGAATTCAGAAATTATCTCAATTCAATACATATTTAAGTTTCTGGCTTTATTGTATTTCACTGGTGAAACTTGTAACTGTGGGGATTTTACGTTCTTAGAAGTATTTAAAAGAAGTATTTAAATTGCCAAGTAAGGTTTCATTTATTTCTACTTTTCAGGAGCCATATGTTCTTGCTACTTGGCTGGTTCCATTTGCTAATGCTTTCCATCTGTCTCATGCAGTAAAATGTGTAATTAAGAACACCTCTTTGTATGTTTCTCAAATTGTAAATATTCAAGAATTCTACTGAAACTACTTGATATATTTCCACCTCACTGGAGGGAGAGAACTGTGGAATATGCCTTTTTGTACATTAACTCTCTCTCTGTTGCTAAACTCTTAAGGCATGAAGCACATGCATCCTTGGGTTCCACAGGCTGCTTATTCATTTCTTTGAAATAATGTACCATTTGGCTGTAATCTTGTTGCCATATAAACCATTTAAATAATGGCTATAAATGTAAACTGTGACAGTATTTGACCTGAATGCTGGGGCTATCGATAAGTGAATAAAAAGCATGTTTTGTGCACTAGGAAGTAAATAGGTTTTGATAGTGCCAACTCTTAGAGATGGAGATGCGTCTCATCCTGCAAGCAGAAGCAGCACTCACGAGTTACTGGAGGAGACACGATTGGTGACAGAAGATCAGAGACAAAGCAATACAAATATCAGTACAAATATCAAGTAAAGGCTCTCAGGTGGAGAGTAATACATGTTACATTTGCTCTGTTCCTAGTGGTTTCTATAATGCGAACAGTAGCAGTAGGAAGCTTTTAATACTGTTAAAGGCTTGTCTGTCCTTTTTCTCAAAGGCAAACAGTTCATAGTCTCCCAAAATCTTGTTTGGGGTGGCCGAGTTTTGCTTTGGTTCTTTATTTTTGTCTTAAGCAATGGAATGAAATTCTTCCAGTCAAATTGTTGAATAGTCTTCTCCTACTTGATCCTGCGGTTTGATGCTTTGAAATTTGAGTATGTTTCTGCTGCTGTCTTTAAAGCAGGGGCATTAATTTGGGATGTGCAATTTCTCCTCTCAGCAACAGCCAGGCTAGGAAAGCAAAGATTTATGGTCAAATTGTCAGTTACAAAGCTGAAAACAAAGCATGTGCAGCTGTAGTTTATGCTTAATGATAGTATTATTACAAGTTGGTTTTGTTATGCATAAACTGAATTTCTATCTCAGCTCTAAGAGGACAGGACCACATAATATTTGTTGTATTTTTAAAATGTACAACTGTCAAGTGTTCTGAAAGAGAAAAAAATCATGAAGCTACCCTTCACCTTTCAGATTACACTGGATTTTGGGGGTTTTCTAGAAAAACAGTTACTTCTATCCCCCTTTCATTTTAGGAAGATCACACATTTTTATTCCACTATCTCTTTGAATGCATGTTTATTTCTGCAATATCTACATGACCTTAATGACTGTGGAATTGATTGAAATTGCTAACCGGTCAATTCAGAGGATATCATTAAACATCGATTATTGTGTTGGGGTAACATTTACAAAAAAACAGCTTACAAAAATGCTTACTATTCTATTATAACTTCACAAGGCATCCTTACTTTTAAGGTGCAATCCTTTGATGCTGATACAGACTTTACCCTGCTTGACCACATAGGTTTAACGCCAGAAAATACAACAACGCTAGTAACGACTTTTAACATAACTTCTCCAGGTAGATATGGACAAAACTGGGGAAACACGACTTATAGAGCTGGATGAGTCATACAAAAGTGAGCATACGGTTTTCATAACACCACCTGAGATCCCTCATCTGCCAAATGGTGAAGAGCACCCTCTACAATACAGGTAACCTGAGGGCACAGTAGGATGCTAGCCAAAATCTGAACAGCTGCCCTTGTAGAGTTTAGTTTCTAGGTTCTTGTGATAGCCACGAAGTACAGATTTTCCCTGTCCCTTTATGTTGCTCAAGTAAAAATGTGTGTGTAAAATGCCTAATGTGCCAGCTATTTTGAAGTTTTAATGATTTTCTCTGTGTGTACACACAGAAGCAATAATACTTAATAAAGCTGGCTATGTGTTCACCTTACATTGTGCTAGCTATTGACAGGTTTTAAGGTTAAAATTGAAATTATTGGACCCAGTCTGTTGGCCTGCTGCTACTACTGATAATACAAGCTGCAGATACTCTTTGGAAAGAGAGAGTATGTTTCAAAGAATCACTGAAAACTGGTGTTACTACTTTAGTAATTATGTCAAAGGAGTTTTTCTATTGGTTTCTTTATTAATTCTGAGAAAGATTTTTAAATCTAATTTAATCTTTTAGATAGTTTGATATTGTTCATATTGATTTTTATGAACCTCTGTCATCTGATGCTGACTAGGGACTAAGCCACACAGATATTATTTTTTTATTAACTAGAATCAATACTAATTCATTTGACACATTAATTAATAAGAAAATGTAATGAAAGCATACTTATTTATCAGTTTAAGTTGCTTATGCTGAAATAACAGGTTAAGAGACTGTGCAGGCTTAAGAAGTGATGCAGATGGTTTAGTAAACCACTTTGTCAACGGTATCTTTAAAGGTTTACTTTTGTTTTTTCTGCTTCCTGCATAGTTTCTAGTGCAAATGTGTAATTGATTTGCTATTATGTGATGTGTTTACTTTGGAACTGACTTACAGGAGTTAAGTGACGCATTTCTTTTACAGCTACAATGGATTTCCAGTATTAAAACTAGATTTGTTTGAGCAACCTGAAGGATTTCTCACAGCACCAAATAACAAACTGTCCTCAAAAGCCAGTAGTCCCAACAGCCCATTACCAATGTTCAGAAGAACTAAACAGGTACTTGCAGATATTCTTGTAGCATGAGGCGCTTTGGAAAGTGGCAGCTTTCTGCCTTCATCTTGAGTTTGGCCAAAGACTGACTGGCAGTGGCTGCAGCCTAATTAATGGTTCTTTACCAGTACAGTGACTGTAGGGTAGCCGTGCTAATTGTTCTTCAGATGTTTACCTGTGCTTCTTGCCTTCACTGTATTGTACAGGGGCCTGTACACACACTGTAACTTGCTGTGGTGTCACTATACCTTTCGTGCTTTTCACTCTGTTCTCCATGAGCATAAACTGTTGGGCTTCCACATCCACTTTTTGACTGATTTTTCACTGTCCAGGGCGTGAAGAGGGGCTCCAACTCTCAAATGTTTCTTACAAAAAATGCAGACCAAAAGTAATTGACAAAAGTTTCAAGAAATGCAAGTTTTAGGAGGGCAATATTGCACAACAACTGGTTTTGGTATCACTTACTCTGCTTTCATTTTCTTTCCCACTTTATTGAATATATTGTTCATATTAATGTTGCAGTTTCTGTAGGTATAATGATACGTGTTCTATTTTTAACACGTAGGTTTCTGTAATGTGTGTCTAAATATACACAAATAATCTTTATGATTCTTTACAGGAAATTAAATCTGCACATAAAATTGCTAAGAAGTACTCATCCATACCCCAGATGTGGTCCAGATGTTTGTTACGTCACTGCTATGGTCTTTGGTTTATCTGCCTTCCTGCGTATGTGAAAGTGTGCCATTCAAAAGTGAGGGCTCTGAGAACTGCATATGATGTGCTACAAAAAATGCATTCCAAAAAAATAGATCCACCTGATGAGGTAAAGTAAATCAACCCCAGAATTCCAGAAAGAGCCCATAGGTTTTATTGACTGGAGTGTTTGACTACAGAAGCACAATACAAACTGTGTGTAATTTTCAGGTATGCTACCGAGTACTCATGCAACTGTGTGGACAGTATGGTCAGCCTGTGCTAGCAGTGAGAGTGCTTTGTGAAATGCAGAAAGCTGGTGTTGATCCTAATGCCATTACTTATGGCTACTACAATAAGGTAAGTATTTTTTTAAAGTTGGGGAAATAGGCATTTTTATCCAGGCAAACAGAAGCAAACAAAATAAAGGAGCAGTTCAGATGTAATTCTGTCATTTCTAGTAACTGGAAGAAATACAAGACAGAATAATTGTGTTGTCTTTGTTTTTGTAGGTTCCGAAGTCAACTTCATAACTGCTAATGTAACCTAATTTGAAATTAAGTTAATGATTTCACACCAGACTGTTCCTTAGGATGACTTTATTTGACTTTGATATTTCCAAAATAGGCTGTTTTGGAAAGTACCTGGCCTTCAAGCAATCGAGGTGGCTATTTCCTATGGATGAAAATAAGAAACGTTGTTTTAGGAATAGCACAGTTTAAAAAAGCACTGAAAAAGCTACCAGCAAGCACATCACATGCAGCTGTTCCTGGTAGAGTATTCACACTGGGTTTTTTTATTTTCATGCTGATAAGAAAATTACTTTGGTTAACTTTCTGTTCTGAATTTGATAAAAGTGTTTGAGGGTAGAAAAAAAATTATTGCATCACTTAAAAAAAAAAAAAAACCCACCAAGGATTTAGTTTTTTGTTTATCTTTGAATAAATAAAGAGTAGACTATTTGCGATTGTATCAGGTCTTCATGGAGACAAAATTTGAACCTGAAATCCATGTGATAATTATCCTAGTTTATTCAACATCCAATTTCATAACTAGCAGGAACTTCTATCTAGCCTTGCCTCTTTTTTTTTTTCTTTTTTTTTCTTTTTTTCTTTTTTTTTCTTTTTTCTTTTTTTCTTTTTTTCTTTTTTTTTCTTTTTTCTTTTTTCTTTTTTTTTCTTTTTTTTTCTTTTTTCTTTTTTTTCTTTTTTTTTCTTTTTTTGTTTTGTTTTTCCCCTTTTTTGATGTTAGTTGAAAGGCAATTAGAACTAGTCCTTGAGTTTAGAGTATTATTTGCAGGTTCTGTTTACCAGCTGAAATGATCGTACTTATTTAACCTAGAATATAAGTTCAATATTTGAGCTTGCAAATTTTGGTTTTCTTTCTTTTTCTTTCCAGTAACCATTTACGTTATGTTCAAATGGCCATACTACTATGCTGGTGATGATTACCTGTAGTTTGTATTTTTTGTAGGTACTGCTTTCCACTGTATTTGTAACTTACTACTATTAAAGCAAGATAGTATATTTTAAAGTACCAGGAATATACTTAGTTTAGTTGAAGTTGACCTTGGCAGATCTTTACAATATACTTGTCTAAACGCGTGAAGGTCATCTGAATCATCTTTCAAAGTCCCTTCCAACCAGGGCTATTCTATGATTCCAAATATGTACAAATAAATCTTTGCCCTGACAAACAAAATAGACATGATGGCCTACTGGCTAGAGTATCTCTCCTAGACTCAGGAGACTGCAGTCCTACTTCTGGCCCTGTTGCTATCCTCTGGATGACCTTGAACAATTTTGCTTTATTTCTGCCTGTGCTTCATGACACTGACCTTGCTGATAAACCATTTTTTGAAACCCATCTGTGCTAAGCACTATATAAGCTTAGCAATGTTGGTCGCAACTCGGACCATGTAATTAGGCCTTTAATAAGTAACTGTAACTTTTATAATTAATGGTATTTGCTTTTGGCATAATCTGAATTTTTAGAGCTTTCTTTGCATGAAAACGCATAGCTAGCATGCATTCTCTGTCTTCAGGCAATCCCCAAAACTTTTCCATAAACTGCAGAATATTTTAGCATCTTTACAATCACAAGGTTTTTACTCTCTCTGTAGAGATTCAGTGCAGTATCTTTAGGGAAAAGAGGGAAGGAAGCTGACTTTTCAGCCATGTTATGCCCTCTTGATCCTGGCAACGTGCTTACTGTTATCTCCTGAACCGCATAAGAGTAAACCTCCTACAGATGCTGAAGACTTCAGGTTGACCTGGGCAAAGGACATAGAATGTGTGTGACTTGGAGTGTTCACTTAGTATTTTTAATGAACAGACTCTATGTGCTTTGTTAATTTGCTTTATAAAAACCTGGAAGAGAAACAACCACGTAGTGTTAAGTAAATTTGGTTCTTGAAATCAATCAATCAATCAGACTGTAGCAGTTACGCTTGAGTCAGTGTTTTGTCTTAAGAATGACCAGATAGTGGCTTGAATGTTTGCAGGGGTTTTTTGGGTGGTGTTGGTTATGTTTATTTTAATCTTATTTTGCAAACAAACTCATGGTTGCTGCTACATTGTTTCAATTTTTTTACTTTCTAGAGTAAAAACATGAGAATTACATGCATTAACTCTGAGAAACATACTATGCTAAAATGAAACCATATTTAGATGCCTCTTAGAGTTCTTGAAAAGAGGTGACATTTTGATCAAGTAAACCAGGCAGCAGAATCAAAGACAAGCAGTGCTTTAGTACAGTATTTAAAAAGAAATGTTGCAAATTACCCCTTTAATTTCATCCTGTAGCATCGCATCAACGTTTATACCGTAAAAGTAAGCCAATCATTTCTCTCACTTTTTTGTGGTGAAATGTTCACTGTTAATTAGAATGTACTTGATAAGAAGCCTTTGAATTACTGTGGATATTCAATTTATTCTATTTAACAATGTCACGCTATTAAATACCATAATTGTCTTTTCCTGTCATTGCCCTGTTATGATAGGGGGACTTTCAGACTTTGGCAATAACACATCATTCAAAGAAGAAGCCAGGCATGGGAAAACTTGTCTTCAAGATATACAAGAACAAAAAGAGGGCAAGAGAGAGAGTGACTCCAGTTCTCGTATGTTTCTTGTGAATACAGATATCTAGTTCATTGGGGATAAATAAGAATTTCAGCAAAAGCTAAGTGGGGCAGCTGATTTTTTTTTTTTTATTTTTTTTTACAGTGGGTGTATGTGATAATGCTAGTTTATGCCCATGCCTTAAGTTCTTTTCTCTAAACGTAATTTTCTGGATGTCTAATGGTTTAAATTTTAGAATTACAGTTCACTTTTCCCTCCTCTGTTTCAAATAAGTGATAATGGCAATATAAAGGCTTAATGATAATTACAGCTTACCTTTTTTTTCGTCTTTTAAAAAAATTAAATTGTTTTTTATAATCTACAGGAAAGCTTTTTCTACCAGTCTGTTTTCTTTATAAATCCCATAAAAGGAGAACAGCTGAATTTTTGCAGGTCTGTGAGAGCGGGTCTAAATTACTCAGTTCCCTGGAATTCTCAAAATTTAGGGAGTGCATCAGAAATAAGAAAGGCTTTGGATTTGCTGTGAACCTTTTTTTTTTTTTTTACTTCAGGTTTTATATCTGCTGCTCATGATTCCCTTAACTGCAGTTGAGCAGCGTAGACTTTCTGCAAGCACATAGCAGATCAGATTGTGTAGTAAAAATGTATAAGTACTACGGATTACCATATACATTCATTGAAAATATTCTTCATAATAAATGTTCTGCTAATAATATAATTCTTAAAATTTTTCAGTGTGTGTTCCCCTACTATTTGAGTTAACTAACCCCTTGTCAAGTGGAAGTGGTGTAAAAGTATGAGAAAATATGGAACCAGAAAAGTTACATCAGTGTTTTCTTTTCACCACCATCTTCCTTCCAGCATTAGTACCTGTTTCTTCAGTTTGCTTGAAAATTTCTGTACAGGTGTTACCAATGATCATAAGAACACACCCATAAGATGACAGGCAGGTTATTTGGGTTTAATGAAACCTTTGAGAACACAGAAAATGTGAATTCTGCTGAAGGCTTGTACATTTTTTAGCCATAATTAAGACAAGTTTGTGGCGCTCTGTAGTGATCTTATGTGTTGAAAATGTTTAGTACTTTTGAGTACAACTTGGGAATATTCAGTTGCTTGAATTCCTTTAGAGAAGTAATTGTCTATTTTGGGTAGCCACCTGACAACTGAATTTGTCTTTCATATCTAAAAGAGGTGAATACTGCAACATGTTTCCTTCATTTCTCTTGTGTAGTCATGGTCATAGGGATAATGAGATCTGGATGAAATCAAGCTCGTTGGCCCTGAGCTCTTGCAAAGGCAGGAGGAAATACTCTTATGCCTATTCTTTGCAAGTGAACAAGGTGGGGGTCTTAGTCTCCACTTGTACTCTGTGTACAGAAGCTTATGGAACTTCCAGTTATAAAAGTACTTCCAGTTATAAACGTAATGTCAGGAATTAAATATCCAGAGTTCAGTTGTTCCAGCTTGAAAACCTCTGCCCAAGTAGATATCAACCTATGCATCATGGGATACGCACAGCATGCTATTGCTTAATCCTGCATAAAGCATTTAATAGGTAATGGAAACTTGAGATTTAAATTAAGTTGCTTTGATTCTAAAGAACTTTCTGTCCTCTTCTATATACAGTGTCCGAAGTGGAGAGCACAAAAGGGAGTGGTGACTGTCTACCTAAACTAAATTACCAGAACTCGAGTAATGCCAAAGCTGCTTCTAGCATAGTGCGGCTCAACGGTACAGTTGACAATACCGTAGCAGAAACTAGCACAGGTGAGTGGAAGAGAAAATAGATTTTGATTCTTGTGCAGTTTTGTCTATATATATATTTTGTCTATATATATCTATAACTTTTCTAACAAGAGTTCTAAGTAGGGTGCCTGAGTTCTGTTGTCCACAAAACTTATGATATTTTGTTGGTGTAATGGCAGTGGCCAATGAAATTTGTGGGAGTGAGTTTAGGTTAGAGTCTGCATATGCTGTGTCAGAGATGTGTCCGAGTATTCTTCATTTCCAGATTCTTTTTCTTGTTTGTTTGGGTTGTTGCTATATTTAACATCTGCTTACAAAATCCCTGGTCCTAGTTTTTTATTATGATCTCCAGCAACTAATAAATTTCTTCAGGATGGACAAGACGTTTCTATGCAGTACAATTAGAAGAAACTTTCAGGTGTTTTCACAAGTCTTTTAGTAATGTCAAATCTGGTTATTATAACACTGTCAGCTGTGTTTGAAATACTGCAATATCATACTTTAAAGTCTGCATCTTTATGCTCTGGCAAAACAACGGAGACTTCTCAAACTCCTTTTGTTGGCTCTTTCTAACTCATCAGGTTAGAAAATGTTACTTTTTTTTTTTTGCCGTTTCCTAGATTCCTTTGCTGTCCTTAGCTTTCAAACCTCTTAATAATGTAATGTGCCTCCAAAAGAGGAAACTAAATACATCAAGACTTTTCTTGATGGGATATCTCAAAGTACTCTTGAGTTGTATGATTTCACACCCTTTTAAATGTTTTATCGTCTGACCCTTCCTAAAAGTTATGACCATGGTCAACTCAACTTTTCAACCATTAGCATTAACACATAGTGAATTCCATCTCTGTGTTGTAAACTGTTTGAAAGATGAGAGATTTGCATTCTTTTTGTATTTTTTTTTTTTTAGTTTTCTTGCATAGCAAGAAATAAAATACCTTGTTTCATCTGTTTTTCAGAGAGTTCTGTAGGATTGCTGTTTACATCATCTTTTGAGGATGCCAGAGAAGCAGAAGTTATAAAAAGTAAATCCTTAAGAAAGAGACATAAAAGCGCAGTAGAACCTGACTTAAGGGAGATATCATGGGAAAGCAGGAACCGTAATCTAAGTGGAGATGGCTTAGTGGGACTGATGATAAACAGAATAAATCAGGAAGCAAACCCTGGAGAAATTGTTGAAAAACTAGGAGCTGATGCCAAAATCCTATCTAGTGCATTACAGAAAAGCATAAGGCCAAAAACTCTTAATATCAGAACTTCCTCTTTAGGATCTAAGAGAGAAAGCCTGGAGAAAGAATCTAGTGATGAAGATGCACCTTTTGATTGCAGCTTTACAGATAAAACAGAGTCTCCTGTTATCTTTGATCTGGAAGACTTGGATGCAGAACCTGAAACACCTACAGCAGTGAAATCCTCCAGTGAGAAATCTAGAAGGCTGCAAAGGAAGAGCAGTTTTCCAGTAAAGCCAGTTGAAAAGACAGATGTTGAAACTGGATTTGATCCACTGTCTCTGCTGGTTGCTGAGACAGAACAGCAGAAAGAGGATGATGAGGAGGATGATGATAGAAGTGTTTCTACTCCATCTGCAAGACGAGATTTAGCTGAAGAAATAGTCATGTACATGAACAATATGAGCAGCCCTTTGTCAAGTCGTGCCCCAAGCATTGAGTTGCAAAAACCCTACGATGACAGAAATGCTAATAAAAAAAGCCCAACAGTAATCCAACCTTGTAGGAGGTCCAGCCTTCCCCCAAACTCCCCAAGACCATCCAGTCTTACCAAATCCAAGAGTTATCACGCAAAACATGAAGAAAGGTCAAGAGACAGGCTTTGGTCCTCCCCAGCTTATTCCCCAAACAGTCCAGCAAAGGAACAGCCACAGGATGCAACTAGTTCATTAACATTTGTGTCTTCACCGTCATTCAACTTGGATACACTGCTAACACCTAAGTTTGATGTTCTAAAAAGCAGCATGTTTTCTGCTGGAAAAGGGGTTGCAGAGAAAGCTAGCAAGTGGTACTCCAAATTTGCAATGTATGCTGCATCCTCAAAGGTAATTTTTTATCATTTTTTTTCCCCCCGCAAAACCTAACTTCCTATAAATTAAGGAAGAAGCTTTGTAAAGTTTAATCGCTGACTCCTTTGTGATGAATCCTCCATTTGAGTGACATGCATCATGGTAGACTATGTGCATTAAGTTGTTTTAATCGTGTTTGAATTGCCAGGACCCTAATTTTATTGTCCTGAATCAAACAAATTTTGGTGTAGCATGGGTTCAGAGTATATTTAATGTATACAATAGTGTGTTGACAGGGCAGAGAAGACTGCTCTGCCTTCCCTTATTCACCTAAAGAAAAAATACTTAAACAATAATGTTTTTAGGTCTTCACTGCTTTTATGAAAAAAAAAAGGGGGAAATCTGCTTGTATGGATTACTAAAGTGATTTAAGGTAATTTTGAACTGAGGTCTTTTGGTTAGAATTATTTTTGCTGCTACCAACTCAAACCCAAACTCATTTTGTTCCTGATCCTTGGGAATGAAAATGGATGCAGTTTGCTGGTGGTGCATTTTCTTAACGTGCTTAAAACCAATCTGAGACTAACTAAAGTGTTAATGATGCCTTGCCTATCCTGATGTATACTTACAGCTGCTGCTAACATTTATAGTAATGGTGGGAAACAAGTTATAGGATTAAAATGTTTACGTTTTCATTTAGATATTTTTATCAGAAGAATCTTTAAAAAAGAATCCTCATGTAGCTATTTAACCCTGAGTGAAACTGGCCTTGTTTCATATTGGTTCTCAATACAGATCTGAGCTGAATGATTTTCCAAGGAGGGAAGTTCACGCCTTCAATTTAATGAGACAAAGATGGCTGTCTCTTATTTTCAGAAATATTTTTGGTTTGCTTTCCTTTTCTCAGTGGAATTTGTTTTCTTCTCTCAGGATCAAAATTCAGACCGAGCAAGTGTTTCATCTCTTGGAGCTCTAGACTCAGAATCAACTTCTCTAACTGATGAAGATGTCTGCAATGATTTTGAAAGTGCTTCTCCTCAGGAGAATACCACATCAGAAATTAAGGGAATTGGCCTCAGCAGGACAAGCCTAGAAAGCTCAGCTTCCCATGATGGCTCATCAAAACAATTTGACCAGTGTGGTAAGAGACAGCTCTTGCACGCATTCATTGAGCTGAACAGAAATATTCCAGTTTTAGGAGTTGTTCTTTTGTAATTCTCAGTTTGGGATCATCCTAGTCACTAGTCCCTTTTGTGGAAGAAGTAAACTTTTATTTTCCTACCTGCAAACTATTCCTCATGTCCATACCTATGGACATTTTTATTGTAGAACCTTGGTTTGGGTGTTCTTTCTTGTGGAATAACTTGCACAGTAACATCCTGTCCCTGAGTAAGTTTCTGGATCTACAGCTATGCAACTAAGTGACCCTTTGGGTCCTTTGGTATTTGTGTAATCATCTTATTTGCTGAAGCTGTACAGCTCCAGAAAATATCTATAAAAACTTTCAAATGGTAACTTTATTAGTCTGATTTTGTTTTCTAAAAGCAGTAAAAATCTTTTTTGGAAAATTGTTACCATTTTCTATAAGCCACTGTTGAAGCTGATTATCAGGCAGACTTTGGGTTTTTTCCTGATCAGAACAAGATAATGGGTAGTGACAGTTGCATAAATTTCTGTACTACTGTCATTATGGAGTACAGCGTGTTAAGCAGAATCAGGGTGAAAGGAAGATCTGTCTGCTGAGATCCCTCCACTTAGCACCTAGAAGAGCGTGCCCGGATTTGGCTCCCCAATTAGTGGGATGTGGAGGAACTGAGAGGGTTGATGGAGGCTGCTGTCGTGGCCAGGGGATCAGGGCATCCTGAGGCTGAGGGGAGCCTGGCTTGTTTAGTGTGGCGAAGAAAAGGGTCAGGGATATCTGCAGTCACAGGCAGCACCTCTTGTCCTTCCCTAGTTTTTGTCCAGACAGAAAGTGTGGGTATGAATTACTTCATCTGTAAAACTTGTTTCCAAGCTACCAACTGTTGTAAAAGAAGAAAACTGAACATATGGAAATTCTATGTTGGTAGATTTTATTTTTGCTGTTGTTGGTGCTGGGCAGATGGCAGCCTCGCACTCCAGCTTCACGTTTCTTTCTGAGTGTATCTGATTTGTTGCATCTTCCATCATGCATTTTATAACTGCGGTATTGTTTGTGACCAGAAAAATAGTTTAACTACAAATGCATATTCTGAATAACTAATGCTTTGGGTTTCTTTTGTCAGTAGGTTCTCTTTCAAAGTTCCCTTTACCCGACAAATCAGAGTTGATATCTTCTTGCAGTACAAGTAGTACCAGTGTGTTTCAGAACTACGCTATGGAGGTACAGGATGATTTATTGATCTTAATTGATATGCTAAAAGCATATGTCTCTAAATATAAATGCTATCTGAATCTCTTAAAGTTCAAAGCTTAAAGCTAATGCACTGAAAGACAGATAAATGCTTCTGTGACAGAGTAGGTTTCACTTGAAATCCTGCTCTAGAAATGTCTTTATTGCAGTCACATCTTTTAGTCCTTAAAGCTGCAGCTGTCAAGAGTTTGTGAGAATTGGGTGCCATTGAATTCAGGCATCTAAATCCCTTGCACAGTTAAACTTGTTTAAAGAGAAAATACTGAGTCTTAAATAGGACTATACATTTAAAAATACGGAATTAATAACTAGCTATTTCTTGTTATAGCTTCTAGTAAGATCATTTTGCTTTTCGCTATTATACTGGTTTAGGGTGGCTCTTTTTTCTTTTTATTTGTTTTGGTGGATTTGGATTAATAACTGCTCATTTTCATCTTTTTTTTTTCCCCCCTCATTTCTGTCACACTGGTAGTCACTACAGAAGAGTGTTTAAATTCTAAGAATAATTTATGTAGCTGCATAAATATTCCTCTACTATTACATTTGCAAACAGATTGCAAATGACATTGTTAATAAAAATACTATTGAATATCTGGCTGGTCTTACTCCAGGAAGTCATAAAAGGATCACCTAACCCGCTTAGCTAAAGTATACTTATTCCATGAGCATTGTTCCAGATCCCAGTCTACTTGCTACAATAGAACTAGGACCTGCATTTAATAATTTTTTTCAGGCAATGCTCATTCTAGTCATTTGCCATATCAGCTGTCTGCTGATGGAGCTTGATTTAATAGTTGTTCTGAAATACATAAGTTTGGGTTTAAACGTTCCAACCTAAAGCATGGGAACAGATATGTGGCTGCACTTGTTTGCAGGTAGTGAGTAGTATTCATCGAATGGCAAAGATTTTGGCTATAGTTTTAACTGTTTTGTAAAAGAGTGGTAGTCTTGAGAATGTGTTATAGCGGAGTTCTGTTATCTGCTGTATGCAGGTCCTCATCTCAAGCTGCTCACGATGCCGAACTTGTGACTGTTTGGTTCATGATGAAGAAATCATGGCAGGTTGGACAGCAGATGATTCAAATCTCAATACCACGTGTCCCTTCTGCGGCAATTTATTTCTACCTTTTTTAAGCATAGAAATCAGAGATCTTCGGCGACCTGGACGGTAATAATGTTATTTGAATTTTCCTCCATTTTGAATGCTCGTAGTTGTGAAGTGGGTTTTGTTTGGTTTTTTTAGATAACATTAAGTTTTTGGTTTCCCTGCAGTTATTTTCTGAAGTCCAGCCCTTCTACAGAAAACATGCAGTTCCCATCGCTTTTTTCAAATCAGAGTGGGAAGTCCTGTAACACTGCAGCTACTGTTGGCCTTGCTACATCTCTAATGTCTGTTCAAGAGGATATAAATTCAAATAGGTAAACCTGCATTCTCTGCATAGAAACTACTCAGGTTCTGTATGGATATGCATGTATTCCTTCTCAATAGAAATAAGTTTAATAAGATACTCTCTGAAGAGGAGAAATTGATTTGAGGGAGGATCTGCTTGCTGCCTCTCCCTTATGTCTGAGTTGACCACATCGTGCTTTTTCAGCATGGTGCTTACCATTTCATCCCTAATATAAAAATTCCCATAGGCATCTGTAATTCTGAAAATTTTATGAACTCTTTTTAGGATGTTTGTACTCATTATCAGTGCAAGGGGGAATAAAACTTGCACTGTAACATGAATGAGTGTGGTGGCTGACAAGGTAGAATTTGAGGTGTCAGGTCAATTATTTCCAGTTTATTTCTGTCTGTTTGTGTACATGTTTGAGCACTCACAGTAAAACAAAACACTGACATTCTTAACCTTTTGTGTGGGTTTTTCTTTTCCTTCCCCCTAGCAAATCTAAGCAGCATGACAATATTTGTGCCAGAAGTATCCAGATCCCCTCAGGAAGAAGACAAAATACCTCTGGGTCGGAATGTACAAGTCATCCCGTAGCAAGGAGTATCAGTACTTTTGGTCCGTTGGAAGAAGACGAGAAGGAAAACCAGAAGATCAGCCATATCATTCCTACTGGTAGCCTGCCTGCTACCTTGCAAGGACCAACAGTGTGTAGTTTTCCTACCTTAAATGTCTTTTTTTTTTTTTTTTTTTAAAGTGTGTGATAGATTAGAGAAATATGAAACAGTGTTAATTAGAACAGAATTAACCATCCTAAATTATGATAAATACTAGGTTTTATTATTTAAACTAATATTAGTTGTAGCTTTTAGATGTTGTTTTGTCTCATAGGTAACAAAAGTATTCATAAGACTTTGTAAAGATAATTACATTCCAACTAATGGCATTTTTTCTTTTTTACCATAGGATTCCTTGGGCCTAGAATGGCGCTTACCTAGTCCTGATCCTATAACGGTTCCTTATCTCAGTCCTCTAGTAGTATGGAAAGAGCTTGAGAGTTTGCTTGAAAATGAAGGGGATCATGCAATAACAGTTGCGGACTTTGTAGATCATCACCCTATTGTGTTCTGGAATTTGGTGTGGTATTTCAGACGCTTGGACTTGCCTAGTAACTTACCAGGATTAATACTTTCTTCTGAGCACTGTAATAAAAACTCCAAGGTATGGAATCAGATAGGAAGTATTGACATGTGAGGAATACTTGTTTTCCCGTGCAAGAAATCATTAGAAAATTCAATCACTCCTATGTCTTACAATGTGCTGGCCCAGTCCTGGTTTGGTAAAGAATGTGTCAACTGAAGGAAAATATGTGTAACTCCAGAACTTGGGCTCAGCAGTACTTGTGTGGAGTAAGCGTTTAGCTCTGACTAGTCGCACTGTAATTTCTGACCCTCCGTTACAAAAAAGATAAGTTTCTAATTGGCTTCATTGCAGTTTGGTGACTAGTTGAGCAGTAGAAGGAGGAAGAAGGTATGATTTTAGTACTGTAGGAAGGTGTGCAAAATACTCATTTGCTATGTCACTGACATCCTATTCAGATTTGGCTTTCTCTGATTTTACAGTAGTTTTAATATTAAAAACTCTTTTCCATGAGGCCTATAGATGTAAAGATATATTTTAAATACAGAAGTCCTCCGTCATGACTTTGTAATAAAATATCTTTATGTATGCATTCTCCTGTTCAGATTCCACGAAACTGTATGTCAGAGGACAGTAAATATGTTCTTATTCAGATGCTATGGGACAATATGAAACTGCATCAGGATCCAAGGCAGCCTCTATATATTTTGTGGAATGCTCAGAGTAAGCTTTGTTTCTTGTGGTTTTTTTAAAGAACAATTTTCATTTTGAGCAACTGAAGAACGTGTTTTGAGAAAAGATTTCTTTGTGGACAGTTCATGCAAGATACGTAACTGATTTTTGATCATACTGCTTTTTGTCTTGCAGGTCAAAATCGCACTCTTTTGTTTGAGAGTGAGTGTTAAGTTTGGTGTTGCTATTCTAAGTTTGTGTGACTTGTTTTGGGAGGGCGGGAGGGTGGTTGTATGTTTAGCAATAAACTGCTTGAACAAGTTTAGTTTTCCAGCACATCTGTTTCAAATCATTGACCAGTATCTCCAGTGGCTTTTTCTTCATTGGGAATGGAGGAGTAAGAGGGAATATGTTTCAGTGATACACGGAATTTATATTGAGGGTTCATCCACTTAGCTTGCTTTCTTATTTTTAGAACTTGCTTACTAAGAATTTTGTTGCCAGTGTTGGATCATATGGCCTGAAAGTAGTTCATGACCCATTACAGTTGTTGAGTTTTCTCTTACACCATTTTTGTGTTTCCTTATGTTTGGATTATTTTGACTTGATGTTTATTGTTCTTTGTTCACTACATATGTCAGCATTTTCACGGTTTGTGTAGCCTCCCACCTTTTTTTTTTTTTAATAACTTTCTACTTGCTACACAAAGAATGTATTTATTCTTACAGCATCTCTAATGTTTTTCAGCTCAGAAGTACCCAATGGTCCATTTATTGCAAAAAGATGATGACTCTTTTAACCAGGAGCTCTTGAGAAGTATGGTGAAAAGTATTAAGATGAATGATGTGTATGGACCAATGAGTCAAATATTGGAGAGATTGAACAAATGGCCACATATCAAAAGACAGAGGTAGGATATGGAAGTGCCTAACTGGAACGAGGTTGGACAACAAGAAGGCTATTGTAATATGAATTATATCTTCATAGTGTGTTTTTGAAAGAAAAAAAAGACCGTTTCTTAGCAGTGTTCTCAAATTTGTCAGTGTCTGGTAAATATTCTTGTGATAACTTTCGCAAATTTATTTTAGAAAAAAATTGGAGAAACTATTTTTCACTTTTCCCTCTCCCTTTCCTCTTTACAGCTACCTCTTTTTCTTCTTAACTCTGATGAGAAATCAAGTAGGGAGTGTGTATATGTGTGTATATTTTGTTATTAAATGTTATTTATGTAGTAGTGTGGGGTTTTTTAAATAAAAAGCTGTACTTGTTCCTAGGGTGCATGCATTTTTTTAGGTTTCCAGTGGAGAACAGAAAGGAAGCTAAGAAGAGAGGTCAAGTCTCATATTTAGGAAATTTTTTTCCATTAGCAGTGGAATTAGTGAAAATTATTTCCTATGAATCTGTATTTCTTGCCCAGATTTACTGATTTTTATTTATTATAAGATATATAGCAGCCTTTTCAACAGCTGGAGCATTGATAGGGTGTTTGCTTGTCTGCTTGCTTTTTCAAGATGACGTAGAAATGCAGAAAAACAAGCTCCTTACCTGTTTGTCAAATTTGGTGGAATTTGGTTGAATGCCTTAAGTGCATTCCTTGCTCTGCGAGCGCTTAAGGCATCCACTGATGTGCTGGAAGTTGCATCAGGGACCTACCACAAGTGATCTTCCGTGTGTTTGGAGTGTGGGGCGTTTTTCAGAGGTCAGAAACAACAATATTTTGGATGTGGCAATCAGGAATTATGTTCAAAATGCCACTCTTTAAAAATAAGTTGTCTTTGAATGCTTCAATCTTTTTTTAATACAGATTGTTTTGTGGTGAATTATTGCAATATATAAACTGACATTTCTTTTTACAATTTCAGGAGCCTTTACAGAGAAATACTATTTCTTTCACTTGTTGCTCTAGGAAGAGATAACATTGATATAGGTAAGTTTTATAAATGATTCAAATATGCATAGATGATTAATGTATGCAAAATAGTTTTTCAGCTTCCAAAACAAAACAAAAAAATCTGTAGATTAGAGATGCGTGCTGTTCTGTGGTAAGTGCTGAATAAAAAGAACTTCACAGTTATTTTTGGATGATAAATGTGCTAGCTCTCATGGTATTTGGGTTGGGGTTTTGAACACGGTATATAGAAGTTGTTTTTCTGTTTCTGCAGATGCTTTTGACAGAGAGTACAAAATGGCCTACGATCGTCTCACAGCTAATCAAGTGAAGAATACTCATAATTGTGATAGACCACCAAGTACTGGGGTGATGGAATGCAGAAAGATTTTTGGAGAACCATATCTTTAAATATACCTAGATAAAGAGGTGTTATCTATGATGTATACCTGTGTAAAATAACCACTTCAGTCACAAGGAACATCTCAGTCTTCAGTGTTCAAGAACGTATGTACGAATGTACTATGGCAGAAGGCCTTGGAAAAATTAGGCGTCTCTACAGCTGTGGAAATGGACAGAGTGAAAAATGGGCGAAATATTATTTCCCTGTCCCTTATCCTTTCTGCAAATCAATGTGTAGAAGGGAAGATTCGAAGCAAAATCAGTTCTTTAACTTGGGACAACATATTTTGGTTCCCTTAAAAAAAATTAAACAGGTGGACGGAAACAATGCACTGAAACTAATGTGAGCGAAGTAAATTCTTCAAAATCTATTGTTTACATAGAATATTCATGATGTTATGAAGAGCATACAAAGTTGTATTATACATATTTTAAATTGTTTATAGTAAGTTGATATTTTTTTAATTTTTTTAAATTACTGGAGTGAATTTTAAATGGACTTGCTGCATAAGCAATACAGTGCTTATTTTTTTTGCAGTACACTGCTATTTATAGTAACTTGTCCAGTTACTTTTTGAAGAGTGATTTGTTTTTAAAGCAGAATAGAAAATGTTAACCTTCACCTAGACAGTACTCTAGATACAGGATTTCTCTCATGCACACATGGAAAAATGTGTTACCACAGCAGTCAGAAGGAAGGCATGGTAAACTTCTGTAAAACTCTACTAATGAACACACTGATGTCTCTGTAAAACACTTTTGTATAAATCTCCTGTTCCCTTCACTCCCCACTGCCTAGTAAAGAGAAAGCATATTGAAGAGTCCTATAGATTATGTTATGGAATCAGTCCATCTCAGCTGTTGGCATTTGTTAATGTGACCTCATTACAGATGTAATACAGAGCAAGTGACAGCCTGCAAGAAGATCTTCATAAACATGCAGTGGTCAGAGTCTTGGTGGATGTGTTTGAAACACACTAAATATGACACGTACATAATGCTAATCCAAAGCTTTTAACTAAAGTAGATACAACAAACTTGCTACAGGGAATATATAGGGAATGTAACTTATTGGGGCATATTGTGCATAGTTAAATGTACTTGGAATGTTTGGTCTCTATTTCACAGGCAAAACTTTTTATTTTTTTTTTAATTTTCTGGGAAGAGCAATGCTACGTCAGTCCTTGTGGTGGAGTCATGGCTTTTGACTCATGTTTTCTTGTTCTAAAGATCTAAAAAAAAAATGTTCTGTGCTCTCAGTCACACAGCAACTCCTCACCAGAAGGTAGGCTACAGAGAAAATATCAAAAGTCTTGTATGGAGGTGGGAAAACAGACATTGAATTGTATAAAACACCCTAAACAAATTAAACCATGCTTTAACAAATAGCTTTATTTTAAGTAATCTTAATGGTTTTCCAATTCTAATTGCTTTTAGTTGTTGGTGTTATAATACTTCTAAATATTCAGCTGTTACATTAGACTTTCTCTTTTGATCTGCCTACTAGCAGGTATTTTTTAAAAATCTCTTTAGTTTGCCAGTGTAATAATACAGCAATATTTAGTTAGGCAGAAAGGAGATAAACTTTAAAGCTCACATTTACTTTATTACATGAAATAGAGTGAGCCTCTTAGAGGCTTAAATGAGAAGTAATGCTGCTATGACGTTCTATGTAACCTCCTCCCAGACCTCTAAAGTAGTAAGAAGATGCTGCCCTAAGGAGAAAGGAGTTAAAATTTGTCGAGCTGCAGGTCTATGCTGATGCTAATTGCAAGATGCAGTCTTGTTGGATACAGCTTTCATTGGGTAATACCTCTTCTCTAATTTGCTGCTAATTATGTAGCTGACCTTTTTGAAAGTATCCCACCAGCCTGGGGTGGAGCTAGCAATGCTACACTTACCAACATTTTTCACGTTTAATTTATTTTAACAATTTATGATGCTATCTTTTGTACCGCCACACTTGTAAAGTATTCCTCATGCATGAAATACAGCTACATTTTTCACCCAGGTACATGGTAAGTGGTGTATCAGTGTAGGGTGGATACATACCCCCTTCATTCTGGGGAACTATTGTGAAAAACACCAGGTTATTTTTTAACATATTCATTGTAAGTACCTATTAGTGTGCATGTCTGCTCTGCTCCGTACAGTAAGTACACCGTATTACCTAGTAAAAGTTGCATACGGTAGTTGCTGTGTATATAAACCCATCCATGATTGTGCTGTGTAGAAGGTCGTGTTCCTAGCTCTTTGCAGTTCTGTTTCCCATGTCGCTTACCACTTGGGGCAGCCACTGTTTTATAGGACCTTCGAGCCATGAAGGAGGGCAAGTGCTTTTTCCAGAGCTGCTGTGGTGTGTTAGAGGTGCTGAGCTATGAAGCAAGCTTCACACTTCCTATTTCAGTCTGGCAGAAGCGACTGAGCCTGGTCTCTAACCACCTCTCACTTACTAGGACGTTAACACTGCAGCTGCGTGTGCTAGCACAGGAATAGATGCAACACTTGTAGTACGTGGCCCGCTTTCTCCATTCTAGTCCCAGCGTAGTTGTAAGTACTTCCAACTGTCTTCAGACTTACAAAGCCAACAAGTTTGCCACTTCATTCGAATATCAACAGTCCTGCCAGTGTTATCAGAAGAGTATATCCTGTACCGTGGAAAGGATTGTATATGCATCCTTCAGACAAACAATCTTACCGTGTTCTTGCATCCTCAGAGTGGCACTCCTGAAGCATTGCTGATGTTTATTTGGGTGTGCTTTTAAATTACTATATCATGTAGTTGTTCATCAAGTGAAATCATTATACTTAATTGTTTTATAAAGTCTGTTGCAAGTCAGTCCACTGTAGAAATACTATAATATAGTTGGAATAGTGATATATCTTAGGTGGGAAATTTTCCTCCTTCAAGTCATAATGTTCAAAATGTAGGTCCTGAGGTGGATAATTTTTAAGCACCATACAATTCAATGTTGAAACAGTTTTCAAATCTCACTGTCCTTTATTAGAAAAGCAATTTGAGTCTATTTTCCAGTACCGCAAAGATGGATAAATATTTGAGACATATTTTCAATTTAAAATTTTGTATGAACTGAATTTTCTCCTTTTGTGTACTAAATAATGCTTATGTCAAAAACCTTAAACAAAGGTTTTACATTTGCAGTGCAATATATATTTTGCTTTACTTATGGTTCCACTGGAATAATTATTGGAGATGAAATACTGAAATGTGAATAGAAATTGTGCTGTTTCTCTGACACTGCTAACTGTTTCCCGTTATGAGAAGGTTTGCTGTTGGTACAGTCACAGCCTGATGAATTAGACTTCCACTGGCAAATTAAATGATTTGTACCCCAAGAAAGAGAAAATTCCTGCCTGTAAAATCTGTGTATAACAAAGGGGAGATGCAAATAGTAATGAGAGAGAGGGGTATTTCTGGATATTATCTCACTGGGATTTAAAAATGGTACTTTGTTAGTCTGCAAGCAGCACTTTTTAAATGAATGGTTGTAGATTTGTAAATATGTAATGTTTAAATTTTATTTACCAAAAAACAGTACGTTGGATGTTTGCTTTGGTTTGTAGTTCCTTTAAAGTATGCAAGTCAGTGTTCACAATGTTAAGTTGTTTGGTTTTTTTTCTGTCTCATCCAAAAAAGAAGTTTTACAGTGAGTCAATAAAAAACTTAAAATCTTTCTGGTTATTTTCATTAAAATTTTATTAGATGGATTAGAATGACAGAACTGTCTGCAACTCTTAACAACAGTGTTTGCTCACACGAGGCATTGTTAACAATAGACCTTTCAGGTTTGTTGATAGTTGATGTCAGTGGCATTTTTTCATAGTGGTTATGTAGAAGACAGTGCTAACAACAAGAATTAGGTCAGGATACAATAATCTGTAAATTTCAGAGATTAGTGTCAGGATGAAAACAAAACTCAAGCAGTTCAACAACTTCTTGTAGTATTTCTGATTCCTGGTTTTAATTAGCGGTAGTGTGGTATTCTAACTCCAGATCCATTTAGTCTCGTTACCATAAGGTGTAAATCCATATGACATCACACTTGTACTGGTGGCACTTAGCGTAAATTGTAGGGATTGTATTGCAAGATCAGACACAGATTTAAAAGGAGCCATAGGGGTAGCTCTGAGGATTCCTCTGCAACTCTTTAATCCTGTGTTCTGCATGCAGAAATAACTCGCTCTGCTTTGCCATTTCCTTGAAAACCTTAGTGTTGCATTTCCCGCAGCCTTAAGAGGGCCAGCAAAAAGCATTTCCTCTGAAGCGCATCACCTATTCTGCATACGCTTCCCTGGAGGTCTGTGGTGTACCGGTTGTGGATGCTTTATATAGTGACATCACTGAAGGGATGAAAACTACCTCTGCGTGGGGAAGTCACGGCAAACTAGCTGCAGCACAAACCTCGGGAACCGCTGTGCTCTTCTCTGCTCGCATGCGATTTGAGGGAGCTCACTTCTCAGACACAGAATGTGTCCACGCAATGATTTTAAGCAGAGTAGTTCTGTGATAGCAAGCCATGGAGGGCTGATTCTGTTCTCACTGAAGTAAAGTTCATTGATTTCAGTGCATTTGAGCAGTTTACTAAGTAATTCAGAGTGTGTTCCTGAAAATATTTCTATAACGAGTAAATATTCTGTGCTGAAAATCAGCTCCGTTAACTTGAAGGTATGAACCATGCCAAAAACTTCATGCATCTGTATCATATCAGCCTTTCCGTGAAAGGTGTGGTATTTGATATTGGTCACTTCATTATCTGATCTTTTCTGATCCTAAAGAAAAATAGCAGAGGCTGATGTACCACTTGAGATTATTATTTTTTTTTAAGTATGTTAAAGACATTTTATTCTCAGTAAGTACAATTCTGGTTGCTTTTTTCAGTAGAACAATTGCTACTTTAAACCCCCTTTGATTTTGATGTGTGCTTATGTACAGCTTGAAGAGTCCAGATGTCATACAGATACAGGGCAGGATATTATCTTGTCTTCTA